CTCTCTCTCTCTCTCTCTCTCTCTCTCTGTCTGTCTGTCTCTCTCCCTCTCTCTCTCTCTCTCTTTATATATAAGTCAGACTTGGTTTACAACCATTGTTCCAAACAGAAAGACAAGCCAACAACAACACATTTCCTTTGACACTAGTTCTCTTGTCTCTTGTTATAGTCACTGCCCTTGAGGTCACTGAAAAGATAATTTTGCTCATTATAAACCCAGAAGGAATTAATGTAATTAATGGTTAACCTAAGGTTTCCTCTCCAGTATCTATCGGGGTCACGGCCGCAGCAAACTGGGCTGGGGTCAATTAGGAGAATTACTCCGCCAGTCTGATAATTATCACTTGATTGAGGAAAAATCGGATAGTTTGTTTGGTATTATGATTTTTTATGTTTTGTTTTGAGGAGTTTGTTTTTGTTTTCGTTGGATGTTGTGCCCCCTCCCCCCCTCTCCTTTTAGGGCAGAGGGGATTTCTCTGTTTTTGGTTTGTTTTTGTTGCTTATGTTGTTTTGTTTTGAGGTTTTAAAAATCATTTTCCACTTTTTTTTCTTTTCTTTTGTTTTGTTTGGGTTGTTGTTTTTTTGTGTTGTTGTTTTTTTTTTGGGGGGGGGATAGGGTGTTTTTTAGAAGAAAAACAGAAGACTCGTTAGGAGAACATATTAAAAGAACAATGCAGCTAGGAATGTTTGGGGTCTATTCTGGGCCTCCCAAATTTAACAAAATTCGAAAACTTGATTCAAAGTCTGAACTTCCGGCTATCTTGGTGAAAATATTGCCAAAGGCCAGCAATTTCGAAATGCAGTGAAGATCTATATATAGTTTTCTGTGTGTGAACTGTGTGGCACGCCGTCTAGTCTAAATCGGAAGGGGTGGGGGGTAGGCCTATTCTTTTTTCTCGTGACTGAATGAATGTTTTTTTACTTTTACGTATGTTAACAATCCCTCCTCCTCCCTCCCTAAATAAAATAAAAGGATTTGCTTTGTGTGAGGTCGAAAGTTTCAATTTCCTTTTGCACTCGATATTTGTTTTGTTTTTCTGTGATATGTTGATGACGGAGTGTTGACTCTTCATTTTTCACGTTCCTTACGTTGCTGAAATAGCTCTTGTCCTTGTCTTCGTTGTTGTTGCTACTACTGTTGTTTCAATTTCCTTTTGCACTAATATGTTTGCTTTCTTTTTCTGGGATATGCTAATGACGGGCAGCTCTCGTCGTCGTCTTCGTCGCTATTGTTTTTGTTGTTGTTGTTGTTGTTGTTGTTGATGATGATGATGATGATGATGATGATGATGATCATGATGATCATGATGATGATGATGATGATGATGATGATCATGATGATCATGATGATGATGTTGAAGCCCGTTGAGGGCGAAACGTTGAACTTGTCATTAGATCTAAATATTTTGGAAATACGACAAAGTCTTGACCGTTTTACTATCTGCTGCATACAATGGTGAC